TTTTTAAAACAAAAAAGATGAAACCAAAAGAAAACAAACTTGAAGGATGGTATATAAATTTAGAGAGTCAAATATAGATTTTTAGGAGGAAAAAGAAGAGAAAAAAAAAAAGTTAACGATACCTCAATAGAGGTCAAGCACATACCGTTAATAAGGAGGAGGAGAAGACCAATGCAAATCAAATGAAGTAGCAGACTAAATTTTTGAACCATCAAAATGAGTAACACATGTCACCTGAGGAAGCAGAGTGACTGACGTATACAAATTACATGTTAGCAATATTTTTTTATTTATAAAAATATCACTTTGCCCCATAACTAAATAGTTATTAAAAAAAACTTGGAATAACAAGTAAGCACTTGTAGTAAAACCATTAAAAAATTAAAACAAAGAGCAAAATAGTCATTATATTATAGCACAAAAAAATTTAAAAAACCTAAAATACCCCTAGAACAAAGCTAAATGTTTTTTTTTAGGCAAATAAGGTACTTTAATGGTTAAAAAATTAGAAAAAAAAACCAAAAAATCAATATTATAAAATTATCCTTGAGAAAAAAAACCAAAAAAATCAATATTATAAAATTATCCTTGGAAGATAGTTTTGTATGATTTTTTAAGAATAAAATTGCAAATTCATTATTATAATTAACAGTAAATTAAAACAAATTTACAATAATTTTTTCACTATAATATTAAGTACAAGTTAAGGTAATCCTGAAAAGTAGTTTAATTGGTCATATGTTGAAAAATAATTTAATTGGTTACATGTTAAGTTTACTTATGAATAATCACAAGTTCATGTTTCTAAGACCATTAGAGACTTGTAAAGTATGATCATAAATTTAGGTTTCTAAAACCTTATAAAGTTATTAACTTTAAAATACATAAAATTAATTAAAATACTTATAAACTTACTTGAACAAGCCCATAAAATTAATTAAAGTACTTGCAAGCTACCCCAACACTTATGCTAATAAAAAAATATTACAAGACCTAATAGGAAGCACACTTCATGGTTTGGAGGGGAAGCCTAAAATATGAATATCAGAACGACGGTCGAACCCTACTAAACCACATTTCATTAAATTTGCTAGGCTAGCTTTTATGGCTTCTGTTAATCTAAATGATGTGATCAGTGCAACAACTCATCCAACATCCTCAACAAGTGGCACCGTGAACTTCCAAATTAGAGGTAGACAATTTCATCACTTCATGCAATGTGGAAGGTCATTTACAAAATGGGTCTTCGTTTTTAGGTGAAAATTCTTACAAGTCTAAACCATACAAAAGATTTTGGTCCATAAAACACAGGAGGAACCAAGGGACAGAAAGGTAGATCTAAATTCAAAGACATCACACGGGTCAAAGCGACTGTTCCTTACATGCGAGCCATAACAAATGTCGAAAGGGTCCCATCTGCACCACCAATTTTAAGACTCATGAGACAGCGGGAAACAACTTTATAGCTCATTGCTGTGTTTCAAATCCTACTTCACTTCTTTCCCCGCAGCTTCACACCAAGAGCCCTCTCCAGTTTGCCTATAATCTGCTGATTAGGAATGGCTTTCCCAGATTCGTACTCCTGAATTATCTGGGGCTTCTCATTGATCAACTGCACCGGGAGGGAAAAAATAAGAGTACTGATATAAAAGCTGAAGTTATTGCGGATGAGAGAGTGAGAGAGAGAGGACCTGTGCAAGTTGAGCCTGGGTAAGTTTCTTGTCCGTTCTACCCTGCATAATTGCTTTCTTCAGTTCAGTTGGCACTCGGTCATCTGTGGGAAAACAACACAAACAGACCAGAAGGTTTTAGGAAGATTTTTTCTTCCAGTGGTAAAGAATCACACATCATCTAACATAAACAAGAGCAACTTGGGAGAGAGCTAAAACCAAGTAGCGAGGTACATGAACATGCTAAAACACCAAAAACTTGTGTGGGGATGATTTATAGAAACATGATCATCATTTTGTGCAATATTATACATGAAGATGATCAAAGAAATGAATGTGAAGGTCAACTGAGCAAGTTGCATCTAGAAGTAAGATGCGTGCTCTACTTATTCAGTACATAGAAACATAAAAAAAAAAACACACACACACAAAATTTAATTTTAAACAACTGTTCCTCATTTGAATTCCCATGATGACTTAAAAAGACTGAAATACAGGATTTTCAACATGAAGAGACAAATTCTAAAATGATGACAAGAAAAAGGCAACTCTATACAGATTCCTTTAGGAACTCTCTTCGCTAAAGATCAAAAAGGAAAAGTTTATCTCTAGATGAGATTAAAGGCTACCTTGTTTTAAGTCAAAGCAAGCCGATGAAAACACAAAGTTTCATCAGCAAACAAGCCTCAAGATCCTCAAAACTCATCAATCAGTGGATTAATTTTAATAGAGAACTGCACAGTCAATTAACATTACTTATACACAACAAGATAAACACAGAAAACCATGAAGACTAAAAATACAACAATGTTAAAAATAATAATATAAACACAGAAAACATGAAAACTCAAACACAAAAATGTTAACAATGATTCATCATTCAGTAGATTAATTTTAATAGCGAACTGTAACGCCCCAAACGCAAAAAAAAAAAAAAAAATACAAACAATTACCCAGCAAAGAACTTTTCACATGTGTGCAGATGTGCAAGAAAACAAAAGGATATATGTTATGTTATACTCACGAGCAAAAGAAAAAAAAAAGATATATGTTATGTTATACTCACGAGCAAGGTTCTCTGTTTCTTCATCGAGCTTCCTTGTGTTCAAAGAAGTGCTGCTAGAAGCAGCCTTGTTCGTACCAGCAGTTGCTGCAGGTCAGATTAAAATACAATCATTTTAAGTTCACACAAACAAACATGATGGCAGTTTATTCTTTAACCTAGCTGCCATATTATGGTTTTTCTTTTTCCCCTAGATTAAAGTTTTTAAAAATTTATAAAGTAGGAAATATAGATGCATATTTCTTTCATTTAATTATTTTATATTCATAACAGGTTAATAATAATTTGAAAATGAAAAGTTGAAAACTACCACTTAAACCCTAATCTTTAAAAATGAAAAAAAAAAAAAAAACCTGAACTCTAATGGTGCTTGTTATCACAATAGATTCCACAATAACAAATACAATTAGAGATCCAAGACAATTCAAATGTTCTTTAAATTTTTTATCAAGAAACAAACCCTAACTTTACTATCATCATCAACGATACGCAAAAAAAAAAAAAATCAGAATGTTTGGATTGACAGATTGAGTTAAATTAACCATCTAAATAATACGAGAGAGGATAAAAGAGGGGAGGGGTACATTTTTTGATGGTTTCTATCTCAGCACCGGAGCGGCGGGCGGCGTTGACGGCCTTCTCATCCTTCTTGGCGGCGGCGTTGGGAGCTTTCTTGCGGATCACTACGGGTTCCCAGTCCTGTGAGATTGGTCCACCTCCTGACATTTTTTCCCTCTTTTTATCAACAATAATATCTTTCTCTCAATCTATATCTGGTTAGGTGATTTTATATGTTGTTGCGTGTCTTTATCTCTGGTTTTTAGGACCCTGGCTTCCGCTTCTCATTATATAGGAATAGTAGGGGCTATCCTAAAATAAAAAAGAATCTGCATATTACGTGGCGAGCAAGACTAATCCTAATCCTAGCCTAATGAATTTGGGCCCCATCTACAGTCAATTTTTTTCTGTATGGGCTTGTGGGCTGCATGCAAACCTTCAAAAACCAAAATGCATTCATTGCCTTTAGAAAAAGAGAGAAATATAGGAAACATAGTTAAAAAAACAAATTGCTAAGATGACCAGACTGGAAAAATATTTGAAAACTAATACATTTTGAACAAAGACATGATTTTTTTTATTCAAACATTTGATCACCAATCTCATTTCTATTTAAAGATGTGGTCATGAATTACAGTTATATAACAAAAACAAAATTAATATTCATAATTATATATTAAAAACCTATTTTTTTTCTCTAGCAGTCACCACCTCTCACCTAAAAAACCCAAAAACCCCATATTTTCCCCCCTAGATTGCCCAAAACAACCATCAATGCTCTACCAAAACACCAAAATTTTCTTTCCTTCTTCTTTATACATCATTCTAGTGTTTTTTTAACAAAAAAACATCTACTCAATCTCCTTTTTTAGTCTTTCAATTCTAATTACTGCTCAAACCACCACCTATTCATCAATAAATCAACATAAAAACACTACATTTCTCTTAATTTTTTTGGTATTATTGTTAAATTATTTGATATTTTTTATTTCAATTTATTATGGTTTAGGGTTTTGTTTGATAAGTGAGCATTTTATTTAATTAAAATAATTTAAGATTTAAATGAATCAATTAAGGATGTTTTTATACAATTGATGTTATTTGTGTAGTTAATTACATTAAAACAATTAAGGTTTACAAATTAAAGATTTGTGGAATTAATATTATATGTGATGACGATATAATATGATGCACAAAAATGATAGAGCGTATTTACTTCATATGTTTGGCAATATGCTATTCATCGATGTTAATGGGATATATATGTCATTATTCTATCTTCTTTTATTAAAACTTTTGAGGTCGTTCTGTAGTATAGTTGGGGTCAGGTGTTCTTGCATGTTTGTATAGTTGCCTCCATGTTACAAGCATGAAAAGGGTAAAGCAGGTTGAGGAATTTATTTTTTTTATACAGATTTTATAACATACATTGTATTTCTTTGTTATCATAATAAGTATCTTGGGTTTGAGATTGTTACTAATTGGATTGCATTTTATTTTAATTTATTTTTCTTATAGTTATGGTCATGGGATCATTTACACTAAAAGCATCCCTAAATTGATCCAAAAACTAATATGTTTATGATAATTGGGGGAGTAAATTTACAAGTCTCATTATGAAACAAGTAATATGTTATTTATAATCATATCTTTAAATTAAAAATAATGTATTTAATATTTAATTAGTTTATTAGTTTAAAATTTTAGGTGTTATGGGATAAGAGTTATGAAAATAATTCAACATATATTTTGTCATTTTATCGTAACAAGTCGGATAGACAATAACATTATTAGATATGTCCATTATTAGTTTGTTTTTAGTAATTATCAGTTTGATTAGTTTTTACATAAAATATATATGTATAATAATTGCATTATTGATGGTGGTATAGGTTGTGTAGAATTCATACTCAAAGGATAACTTTAAAGTTGTTCATCCTATATACACACTACATACGGGCTTATAAATAACACTAATCCTATTTATATTTTTTAAAATTATAGAGTTGCATTGCTCAGATAGTATGATGTAGGGGTGTTCATTTTCGGTTCGGTTCGGTTTTTATAAAAAAAAAAATAACCAAATCGGGAAAAAAAAATTTGAAAAAAAAAAACCAAAACCGAACCGAAA